ACGTATTATAGATTTGATTACAAGATGTTAAAGACGGAATAAATTTAGGGTGAATATTTTTATTATTATTGCACTGGTAAGTTATGTTTTTTCTAATTTTAATTTTATTTTGAGGGTTTACCAAAAAAGAAATAAATTTGGTTAAGGGACTAGATGAAGTCATGAAGCAGTGTGATGGTCCTCCTGTACATGGAAATTTTCAGTTTATTATGTTTGTCTGATCCTAATTACAAAAAGGTAGTTTGTTAGTTTATGGGAATATTTATGTGTACAAATTTTTGGTTAAAAAAAAACAAAAAAATTGTACAAATTTCTTACTCGTATTATTTTTAATGCTAAAATAATTATTATTAGTGGAAGAATTAGATATGGACACAATTTGAGCCTTGAGGTGGCTCCACGCTCTTTTAGTCACGCTTCATGTTGTGTACTTGTTATAATTAATAGGATTATTATTTGACTGGTTACTGTGTTGTCAACGGTTAGTTTGGTCACCATTTATCCATGCGGACCTGGTCCACAATGATGTTATTGTGGACCCGAGGATTATACACACGCAATGACATTATATTGAACATAGTAACCTTTAATTTTTACATAGTAATTCTATTTTTAACATAGTAATCTTAATTAAAACTAGTATAATGTTAAATATTATTGTGAACTTAAAGTATAACGTTATGACCCTAATTTTAACATAGTGACTTTTATTATTCATATTAATCCGTATATAAAATATTTTATTAAAAAAATTAACCTCTTATAGCCTATATATAACCAAAATGACTTTTATTTCAACATAGAGACCTTTATTCTATTATAGTGACTCTTTTTTTAACTAATAAAACAACCATAGTTTTCCTGATGTTAATGGTTCACAATGAATTAATGTGAACCAGGTCCATTTAAGAATTTGTATTATCCATGACTTTAACATTATTTAGATCTTTATAATTAATTTGTCCATAATCTTATTTAAACACAAGATCTAGCTAACCTGGTTAAGTACTCGTGTATAGTTTCCGTTTCTCTGTTTTCTAGTTAGTGGTTTAGCAATTACGGAGTAACATTAATTATACAAATATATTGTATTTCCTCTTTTCATTATTTCTTCCGTCCCTTAATACAATGTCTCTTTCTCTTTATTATGTGAGGAATAAATGCTTAAAAGAGGCATTGTATTAAGGACGGAGGGAATATTAATTATTAACTAGTGTTTTTTATGTTTTGGATATTTTTTTTTGTTTAATGGAAATTAATGTCATAATATGATTATTAGTTGCTTAATGTTTGAAGTAAATACTCTTAAAAATTTGTAAATAGAGAAATAATAACTTATATTAATATGATTTCTATTATGATTTGTGAATTGCCGTAAGCGAATGTCTATACTACTTACATGTTATTGCTTTAAAAGTTTTGAAGCTAAAAATTACTTGTCTAAATCTATTGAAATCACCTATATATGAAAGATTTTATTACTAAGTATCTTTCATCCTAAAACAAAAAACATTAATGTCATATTGGAATGGTGGTTAAGCTCCCAGTTTTTATTTAACTTTTTAATTATTGGTCATGTGTACTTTTTTTGGAAAGTTTTTTTTTTTTTTTTTTTTTTTTTTTTTTTTTTTTTTTTATAAATATTATATAGATATGATGAATAATTGCATGAATTAGAATTTTACTCTCAATAACGTACTCTAATGTCTTTATAACTTTATTAACATTTGTTTTAATAAAAATTGTACGAAGTGTAAAGCTTTGACGTTATAATAGTAGTTCAATCATTTTTTGTATAATAATATTTGTTGTTTTAATAAGCTAGTGACAACATTTAGCGCATGCTCAGATTTACTAAACTGAGCTGAATTGAATTGAACTGAGATAAACCAAATTGAACTGAACTAAACTGAAATGAATTGTTTATGATAGAATGAAATTGGAAACTGAATTGAACAGAACTGATTGGAGATGAACTGAATTGAAATTAAGCTCAACAAAACAATTAGTATATGAATAATGTGAAATTAGTTCAATTATTGTGATTTTCAATAATGCAGAAGTAAAATTAATTAAAAATGTTTGAATTTGCTAAGCACGACCTTTAATTATAAACACAGCTGCAATTTTTCTCAAATGGTATCGAATTGTGATAACTTTTTAAATGTAATGTTCAATTTAAATGATACGAAAACATCATGAATTCGACAGGTCCATAATTTGGACCATTTGGTAATTGATATTTTGAACAAAAGTATGATTAATACATTAATGTAAGAAAAAATACGAGCCAATGAATGCCTAGAGACATCGGTCGACATTGAATGTAGAGAGATTTGTTCAAAATAGACAAAGAGTAAGAATTATGTGAGATGATCATCAAGAGGTGGGAATGAATGAATAAATGAATGTATGAGGAATAAATGAAGGGTGGTCATGGTCCTTAATAAAAACACTCATGTAAACGAATTGAAGGGACTAAAATGGAGGTTGCAAGCACATGTATGGCCAACTAAGCAAGGTGGAAGTGAGTAAATGTATGTACTACTATGAAGTACCCTAGTTCCAAGGGACTCTACCTTTATTATATTTTTAGGACAATTTATTTGGCGTAGTATATATCGATCAAGTAGATGTTGTTTTCCTTCTTACTCGTTCATTTGCTAAGGTGGTGGGGTTCTAATTTAAGATTGTATCCGTTTGCATGGCCATCTTTATAACAATATGTTTGTGCTACGTTGCTTTCTCCTTATTATTAATTTCACCTTAATAGAAAAACATTTGATGAACTATTAATATGACGATTAAATTTAACCTTGTAGATTTTTAAACATAATTCACAAGGTAAGGTCAATGTTAAATTGTATTTTTCATGGATAGAGAGACATCATCATGTTTAGTTTCTACGGAGTAGTTGGTTTATATATTTTTGGTTGGGTTTTGTACCTTATTTGGATACTACCACTTGTTTGTTTTTATTTATAACAAAGTATATATATGTCGGAATTGTGTGTATATTGAATGCACTGTAAATAAGATTCTATTTTTAAAGTCTTGATTTAAAAAAAACCCTGTAAATTTGAGTTTATTGTAAACAAAATTGTATTTTTGTAAGATTTTATTTAACCATCCCATCAACTTAAGCTTTTGGTTGAGTTTGTCCATTAATATAGTATCGAAACCAGCGTGATACAAATGTCACGGGTTCGAATCTCATCCAGCCCTCTTTCAAAGTGAAATTAATTCACGCCCGGTATTATAAAACATATATATTCTTGATGGTCCTCTAACACATTTTAACTATTGATTTGCCTATTTCAATTTGTTTGACTGAGCAAGAAATGAAGCTTGGTGTATCTGCTTGGCTACTTTTGGGGGCTTCTAAAAATTGAGGATGACATGGGCAGTTGGCAATAGGCCTGGCCCAATTGATGTGTTGAGCTTTAATAATCTCTTCCATGATTTTTGGACGCAACGAAAAAAAGTCGTAGTCTCTCACTATTGGGGTTAAAGTGCGATTGTCTCGTTGTTTAATTTGTTACTTTGTTTGTACTAGATTCGTGCTTGCTTGTGACCATTTGTAAGTTTATGTTGACGAAAAACATAGGTTTTGGTGTTGAGATAATTCATATTGTCTTCTGGACTCTTGTTAATAATCATTCCACATTCTTCAATCTGATTGTTGTGTTTCTCTAACGCACAAATGCACTTGGATTGAGTTCGGAAAATGTTGGAAGCTTAAGTTATTGGTTGAAGAAATATAGATGTAAATATGTAATACAAAGTATTTCATATTAAATAAAACGTGTTAGTAATACCATGTTAAATGACCAACTCAACCAAAAACTTAAGCTATGATACCATGTCAGATAATGTAAACTTCTTGATCGAGTGATTTCCATTGATCAATATTTATATGGTTACAATGAGAAACCTAATCATATTAGGTAACTATAAGATATGTACAGATATCAAAGATAATCTTATACAAAATATATCCTAAACCTAGGATGAGAATATTCTATGGATATTCTCTATCAAAACGGATATTAAATAAACGTACCTTGGTGGCTATTTACAGTGATCCTAAATGCCTTTTGGACTTGAGCATATTGAAAAAGATTTGTAAGCAAATTTGGTTTTAATTTGCAGTAAATATTACTCTCTCTGTTTCTAAATAAAGCTCTTATTCGCTTCACCTAAAAGCATGTTCATGAATGAAAGTCTTATTTCATCTCTATCATAGTTTATTAACTTTTAATAATTCAAATCCCTCTATATTTTATAATGTTTCCCATTAATCAACCAAACCCCACATCTTGTTTTACCTTTCATCTTCCTAAAAGTATTATAAAAGATAGATGAAAATTTTATTTAGGGACAAAAGGAGTATAAAAGTGCGAGTAATGTCATGATATGAAAGAGAAATAGTTAATGTAGCATTCCTAGTGAAGTTTTATACAGTAATAAAGCTTTAATAAAGGATAATTACAGAAATTTCATGTATGAATTAGTGTTGAGATAATATTGTAATTATGTAAAGATAATATTTAGGAAATATTGTTAGGTTTCCTTAATTATCTTTATGTTAATATTTGATTTGATATTATTCCTAAGATAATTAGGAATATCTTGTACCATTATATATTTGCCCATTGGGGCATAATGAGGATTTGAGGTATTGAGTTAATTTGACATGGTATCAAGAGCTAGGTTTTAGAAATACCTAAATTTTTTTTTCCTCAAACATAATTGCTGATGGCGAAGGATGATGATGTTCCGCCACCACCTCTTGTTGATCTTGAGTATAACCTGGGATTGAATGATCATCCTGGGATAATTATCACCCCGATTAAGCTTTGAAGGGCGAATTATGATGAGTGGGCGAAGGCTATGCGTCGAGCTTTAATTGCTAAGTGGAAGTTTGGGTTTGTGGATACTCGATTAAGGAGCCTGCAGCCGATTCTACAAAGCGAAAGCACTGGATTGCTGTGAACTCTATGCTAGTCTCGTGGATTAGTAATACGTTGGATGATGCTTTGCGTCCAACCATCATAGATTATGATGATGTGCGTGAGTTATGGGTGCATCTTCAACAGCGTTATTGCGTTGTAAGTGGTACAAGAGTCTGCCAATTGAAGAATTCCTTAGGAGAGTGTAAACAGATGACCACGGAGTCGGTGACAGATTATTTCGGACGATTATCCAAAATATGGACGGAGCTGCTACAATACTGCCGGGTTCCCAAGTGCTCTTGCGGGCAATGTACGTGCAATATTGCACATCAAGTAAGTGACATTCGTGATGAAGATTACTTGCATTATTTTCTGATTGGACTTGATGATCCATACGAGGCAATCCGGGCTCAATTATTGGTGCAAACACCCTTGCCTCATGTGGATAATGCATATCAGGCTGTGATAAATACCGAGAGACTTCGTTCTCGGGATGGAAAAACAAAGGATAATGTCATGGCATTTAAGGTGGACTCGCGCCCTAAGTCGACCTCGGGTGATGGTGAAAGACCCTTTTGCACCCATTGCAATCGGGAAGGACATGATAAGTAAGGTTGTTATCAACTGATCGGGTTTCCGGAATGGTGGGACGAGAATCGTAGAGGAGGTAGAGGCCGAGGACGAGGTGGCCGTGGGGGAGGAAACGGTGGTCGTGGTGGGGGGTGAAATAATGCTTCTAAGAACACCACTCATCGAGCTAACGTTGTACAAGGGGGCGTGAATAACACCAGTGCAGCAGGCAGTAGCAATCAGTCTTCTCCTACGCAAGGTCTTGCGGGTGTGACCTCTGACCAAGCTCAACAAATCATTGAATTGTTGAGTAATAAATCTAAGTCTCGCTTAGAAGGTAAGACAAAAGTCCCGTGGATCGTAGATACCGGAGCCTCTAATCATGTGACGAATGATTTGTCAATTATGAGGAACATTAAAACAATTCAAAATTGTCCAGTAGGATTACCGGATGGTCAAACGGTGAACGCAAATCAATTGGGTTCGGTTACACTAGAGGGTGGTCTTGTTATTTATAATGTTTTATTTGTACCAAATTTGAATTGTAACTTAATTTCTGTTACTCAGTTAAGTGATGAGTCAAGATGTACAATACAATTTACTAACAAAATTTGTGTTATTCAGGACCAGTCGACGAGGATGGTGATTGGCGTGAGTGAACGAGAAAACGGACTTTATTTTTTCCGAGGTGTGCCGCAAGTGAAGGTGCTAGCAGTGGATTGTGTGGTAGATCTTTGGCATCAACGCATGGGTCATCCGTCAGAGAAAGTTTTGAAGTTACTTCCGCCTGTGAGTAACTCAATTAGAAAGAATAATAACGTGTGTGATGTATGCCCTCGGGCAAAAGAATCTAGAGATAGTTTTCCTGTCAGTGAAAATAAGGCTAGTTGCTTGTTTGATTTGGTTCATATAGACTTGTGGGGGTCTTATAAAGTTCCCTCATCGTGTGGTGCTAAGTATTTTTTGACAATAATGGATGATTATTCTAGGGGCGTTTGGATTTATTTGATTAGCAATAAAACTGAAGTTGAATTTCATTTTCTCAATTTTATTGCCTTGATAAAACGTCAATTTAATAAAGATATAAAAGTAGTTCGGAGTGACAGTGGAACCAAATTTAATCATCTTAAGGATGATTTTGTCAAAAATGGGATTAGTTTTGAGTCTTCTTGTGTGGGTACCCCTCAACAAAATGGGAGAGTGGAGAGAAAACACCAACATATTTTGAATGTGGCACGGGCTTTGAGATTTCAAGGTGGATTGCCGATTAAATTTTGGGGGGAGTGTGCTTTGACGGCTTGTTATTTGATTAATCGAACTCCAAATCTATTACTTGGAAATAAAATTCCATATGAAATGTTGTTTGACAAAACTCCTTCCTATGAGTTGATTCGTGTTTTTGGATGTTTGTGTTATGCCCATAATCAAAGAAGTAAGGGAGATAAATTTGAGTCTCGGAGTAGGAAATGTGTATTTTTGGGTTACCCGTTTGGACAAAAGGGATGGAAATTGTTTGATTTGGAAACAAAAGAGTACTTTGTGTCTAGAGACGTAAAATTTCATGAGCATGTTTTCCCTTATGTTGAAAAAACGGAAGCACCTTTGGTGAGATTAGGTGAGGAGTCGATTGATGTAGGCAATGGAGATGAATTTGATGAGTTTGCACAATGGAATATGGGTGACTTACGAGGTGTGGAAGATGAAATTGAGGATGCCCAAGGCAATGGAGTAGGTGCTGGCCGAGAGCAGTCCCAGCAGCAGCACCCCAATGCCTTGGGCGCTGGTGGTTTCCTGGCGGGTGCTGGCCGTGACAGGCAGCAAGGCAGCTAGGCAGGGGCTGTGCCAGAACACAGCGAGCAGCAGGGCACCTCTGCCTCGAGTGCTGGACAGCATCAGCAGCAGCTCGAAGCAGGGGCAGAGCAGTCCGCAGGACAGTTGCGGGAAAGTGAGGAGAGCCGCACCTCCCCTGCGGAGTACGCTGATGTGCAGCAAAGTGGGGACTCAAACACGACTACTCAAGGTGGAATAAGTGAGGAAATGGGTCGAGGGAAAAGAGTAAAGATTCCTTCAATAAAGCTTCGTGATTGTGTCACGCATACTATTCGGAAAAATAAAGTCCAATCATTGTCATCCGCGGAATCATCATCCTCAGGTACTCCTTATCCTATAACCTATTTTGTTAATTATGATCGGTTTTTCGAAAAACATAGAAATTATATTTCTGCAGTGACAGAGGCTCGGATTCCGAGATCCTTTAAAGAGGCAATGAGACATGAAGGGTGGAGAGAAGCAATGTCATCCGAGATTAAGGCCTTAGAAGATCAAGGTACTTGCACCTTGGAGACACTTCGGGAAGGGAAGAAAGCACTCGGAAGCAAGTGGGTTTACACTGAGAAGAGGGATGAAGAAGGAAAGCTAATCAGATTGAAAGCTCGATTGGTTATTCTTGGAAATCATCAAGAGGAAGGCATAGATTACAATGAGACGTTTGCTCCGGTGGCAGAGATGTCTACAGGTCGTACTTTTCTGGCTGTAGCAGCGGTGAAGGAATGGGAAGTGCATCAAATGGATGTACACAATGCTTTTCTCCATGGAGAGTTGGAGGAGGAGATTTATATGAAAGTTCCCCATGGGTTTCAGAAAAACAATTCAAATAAGGTATGCAAAATGAAGAAATCGTTGTACGGGCTAAAATAGGAGCCTAGGTGTTGGTTCAAGAAATTGACTGTGGCTCTTAAGAAATATGGTTTCAAGCAGTCATATAATGATTATTCGTTGTTTACTTTGACAAAAGGTAAATTGCAATTGAATGTGTTAGTTTATGTGGATGATATGATCATTGCTTGTAATAGTAAATTTGCATTGGAAAGTCTTAAAGCATATATGTGTGAATGTTTTAAAATGAAAGATCTAGGAGCCGTGAAATATTTTTTGGGATTAGAGGTAGCCCGTAGAAAACATGGATTTTATGTTTGTCAGAGAAAGTATGCCTTGGATATTATTTCAGAAACAGGATTGTTGGGTGCTAAACCTGCAGACTTTCCGATGGAGCAGAATCACAAGCTAGCTGTTTCAGGGGGGAAAGAGTTCGCGGATGTTGAGAAATATAGGCGTCTAGTAGGATGTCTAATCTATCTGGTTGTGACTAGACCAGACTTGGCATATTCAGTACATATTCTTTCTCAGTTTATGCGATCTCCAACGGTATTGCATTGGGAAGCAACTTTGAGAGTAGTTCGTTATCTTAAGAAGTGCCCGGGCCAAGGTATTCTTCTTCGATCTGATAGTGCTTTGCAATTAGAAGGTTGGTGTGACTCAGATTGGGCAGGTTGCCCATTAACTCGACGATCTTTGACTGGTTGGTTTGTGTTACTTGGTTTTTCTCCTGTGTCATGGAAGACCAAGAAACAACCTACGGTGGCTACAAGTTCGTTAGAAGCGGAATATCGCTCGATAACTGGTGTGACGTGTGAATTGAAGTGGTTGAAGAGGATGCTTCGAGATTTAGGGGATGAACATAAGCAAGGAATGAAAGTTTTCTGTGATAGTCAGTCAGCTTTACATATTGCTAATAATCCAGTTTTTCATGAGCGAACCAAGCACATTGAAGTTGATTGTCATTTAATTAGAGATGCGATTCAAGAGGGTGTCATATGTCCGTCATATGTGTCAACGAAGGTACAGTTAGCAGATATTTTCACAAAGGCATTGGGAAAGGCACAATTTGAGTTTATTCTTCGCAAGATGGGCAATCGAGATCTACATGCTCCATCTTGAGGGGGGATGTTGAGATAATATTGTAATTATGTAAAGATAATATTTAGAAAATATTGTTAGGTTTCCTTAGTTATCTTTATGTTAATATTTAATTTGATATTATTCCTAAGATAATTAGGAATATCTTGTACCATTATATATTTACCCATTGGGGCATAATGAGGATTTGAGGTATTGAGTTAATTTGACAATTAGCCTAGATTGTTGGGCTTTCAATTTCACAAAGTTCGTATGATATATGTAAATGAGCTGGGCCGTTATCCCGTGTTAAACATATTTATTGAATCAACAACTTGGCCTAGATTGGGTCAAGTGGGCCGATATCATGCAATTCGTTAATAAACTTTTGCAGTATTGCTAGTGGCTATGCAGTCCTCTCTCTCTCTCTTTTTTTTTAAATTTTTTTTAAATTTTTAATTTTTTTTAATGGATAATGTCATACTAAATCAAAACCTTGTTTAGGTCAACTAGACCCAAGTTAGGGAGCACCGGAGCAAAGACCACTTGAGAGAGAGAGAGAGAGAGAGAGAGAGAGAGAGAGAGAGAGAGAGGGAGGGAGGGGGGGGGGGAGGGTGGAGGAGAGGTAGTGGTTTGTTATTTGTGAGTTTGTGACTTGAAATTTAGTAAAATCGCAAAGGATATTACAAATGCACATATTTCTCAAAATAGAAGTGACCTCGATATGATTTAAGTTGAAGGTGATAACATGTTTTAAGAGATTTTCAATTAATGATTGGTCGTATGCCCAATTTCGATAAGAAATAAGAAAGTTATGGCCGTTGCACGAGGTACTGCCAAATCTAGAAACATTATGACGAGAAGTTTGACCAAACTTTCCTTTTCTTCGGTTTCCTTATTTTATCTTGATATTGCTTTGTAATTCGGGTATGCTAATGACGTCTACTTATGTTATTTTTAGGGGATAATTTAGAATTTTCTTATGTTATACTTCCTCTGTTTTTTAAGCTTATGGCTCGTGAGGGACACAAAAAATTAAATTTAAGAAGAAGAGAGATATAGAGAGGAATATATATATGGACCTATGTGATGAGGAGAGAGAATGAGAGAAAATATGTACAAATAGGGAAATGTTACAATATTTAAGAAACTTCCTAAAATGATAATTGTTACAATATTTGTGGAATGGAGGAAATATAAGTAACCATTGGGCGAACAATTATAAGTACTTATAGCTTTTGAGCCTAGCCAACTCAAGCTAAGATGTAACTTTACTTGAAAGATTTTGTGAGATGGAGATCATATTATCTTCTCCTTCATTGTATCTATACTATCCTCTCCTAATCTAGTTTATTTCTTAAATTTATTTTTATGTATTGTTGTATAATACACAACGATCAAGATCAAACACATTACCTAAATCAATCGTTTCTCATTAATTTCATTACAAGGTTAAACAATCCATTAGACAAAAACAATTTCATATGTAAGAATACTTAAAAAGGAACCAAATCAACAAGTATACTTTCTTCAACCTCCATACCCAAAGATGTTTAAACAAAACTCTTCATGCGTGCATATACAATTTCTAATAAGCTTAACATTTTTAGAAAGTCATTTCTGATACGTTAAAAAATTAGTAGTATTTTTGTTTCAGACTAGATGCGTGTGTTGTTTTGCTTTTTTATTTGTCAAAACACAACTTTAACTATTAATTTTAGTATACAAAAGTAGCAATTACTAAAAATTCATAGAAAATTATATTTTGATAATATACTTTGAAATTAACCCAACAATATTTTATACGCGGGATGGAGGTTTTATTATTTTGGATAAGAAAAAAAAGGATGCAAGCATGATATATGGGACTTAAAGAAACAATAGGAATTAGATAGCCGAAAAGCTATTAATTAAGCTAAGCCAAAATTTTTGGTCGGGTGCATGATTACGACTCATATTACATTATTTACATATGATATGGAGTACATCGATCGAGTGATGCGTACAAGCATAGCTAAAGAAACCTCCTTTCTTTTTCTTTAATTTTGTTCATGTCTCTTCACTGCTCAATATAATCCAGGTGGCATTATTGGAATATAATAGTGTTCCCAATATAGATAAATTCAACAATTTTTGTACACATATTATATGATATTCAAGCAGGTCTTCTCATTAGTCTCCTCTAATCTTATGCATCATTCTCATTGTAGATTTGATGTAGCTAATTAATCTATCCTCTCAAGTAATTTACAATCATGACAAATTTGAAAAGAGTGTTTATTTGCCATTTGTTGGACTTTAATTTGATTAAAATGGTTTCAAAATATATATAAGTGGACTTTGGCCGGATCAATTGATGAACTTAGTTTCAAATCATTATTAACTTGACGACAATTAACCTAACAACTAGGATTTTTCACTTCACGAAATATGCACATGAAATTGATTAATTAATATTTGAAATATAAATGGATGATAGATGAATTCTTGTACAAGGCATTTCAAAATAAATGTACGTACACAATAGTATTCTGACTACGATAACACTCGACTTTTTGTTACTTTGTAATACACCTCCATCTATATACAAATAAAAGTTTATCCTATTTTGTATATATTTGTTATTTAATGTCGTAATTTGTAATATTCTACTTGAAAGGAGGGACGTGATATGTAATGATTAATATTACTAGTTCATACTTTATAATACTATCTCCTTCTATAAAATACAGTTAATCATGTTTTGATTTTACATACATGTTTGTTAGTACAGTGTTCATCATTGATTAATCAAACTCTCATCATTTTCAATCTTATGATGATGATTTAGTAGCTTTTCCTAAATTGTGAATAATATGAGCATTACTGAAAGCAAATAAAAACTATTAAAAGGGAGTAATTAAAAATTATGCACTAGAATAGTGCATGAGTTCCCTAGATAACAAGTCTTATAACATAAATAAAAGTAATTAAGTGGTTAGATTAATATAAAATAACAAGATAAGGTAAACTACTACTAAAAATGGATAGCACTAATCATACTCTAAACTACCATAATGTAACTTAAGCTATAAATAGCATTGAATAAACAAATTTCTTGAAGCTCAATCCTCTATCAAATCATTATGTAACTTAGACTACAATTCTGTTGATAAAATAACAAAATAAATATGAAACTCACAATGTCAACCTCAATGTGACACTATATATATACAAACTATTAATAATTTTACATTTGCATTTGTACTTTGTACCCTACCTTTCTAATTCTAACCAAGACTAATCAAGTCACCTAAGCTAAGCAACAAACAATAGGCCAAAAATGATGAACTCTCTTCACCATCACAAGAAATGGGAGAAGCTTAGCGGCCAAAACGATTGGGAACGTCTCTTAGACCCCCTCGATATCGATCTCCGACGAACCATCATCCACTACGGAGAGAAGGCTCAAGCATGCTACGACACCTTCGATAGCACGAAAATATCGAAATATGCCGGTAGTAGTCGTTACTCCAAGAAGAATTTCTTCTCAAAGGTAGGGCTAGCAAACGGACGGCCTTACAAGTACCGCGTTACTAAGTTCTTGTACGCAACTTCGGGTATAGCCTTGCCTGATGCATTTTTGTTTAAGTCACTTTCGAGGGAGGCTTGGAGTAAGGAGTCTAATTTTATAGGGTATGTAGCCGTGGCGGAGGACGAGTCGGTGGCGATGTTAGGGAGGAGGGATATTGTTATTGCTTGGAGAGGGACTATTCAATCGTTAGAGTGGGTTAATGACTTGCAATTTCTTCAAGTTTCGGCTTCGAGTATACTTGGTAAGGGTGATGGGAATGATGATCCTAAGGTGCATGAAGGATGGTACTCGGTTTATACTTCGGAAGATCCTAAATCGCCATTTAATAAGACTAGTGCAAGATCCCAAGTAAGATTATAATTGCTTAATTCTCTATTATTTCATCCTTTACTATTTGTTGTTTTGTAATTTTTTATTTTTTGAAGACTTTGCTTTTCTTTTAAGATGTATATATGTGTTGTAGCATCACTATCAGTTAAAAAAAAAAAAAAAAATATATACGAATTACTGGTATATGTTACCGAGATGACATGTTATATACCTCTCTCTCTATTTTATAGTTCCATTTGACCTTTTACGGTCTCCAATACGTATCTTAAAACGCTTATATTTCCATTTCCATACATATAAAAATTATAAAAATTTGATATTAATAAAATATGCAATAAGATCACTCATAACTATATTATCTCTTGTAAATTAACTGTAATTTACAATCAAAGTTTATAAAGTTTGACCAAAAAAATAACAATGGGGCAAAATAAAGGGACGGAGGGAGTAGGTAATAAAGATGATTTTTTTTTTTTTTTTGACAGCAATAAGGATGATTCTATGATAGTGTAGAATTGTGTAATTTTCTTTGATTCCGAGAATTCTCATTAACAAAAAATGTACAAGGTGTACATGAAACTCTAATTAACTGTATGTAGCTATAGTATAATCTAGTAGAAGTATTTTTCGTTTGTGTGTGATTTTACTTTTACATATTTTTCAAGAAGAGAAACCGGGAATTACCCTATAATTAAAGTATACAAAATAAGATATCATTACAAGCATAATATACGCTTAATATAAACATATTTTCTATCTATAGATAAGACATATAATATTTAGGTGGAGAATGAAAGCGAAGGACCACAGATATATCCAAATTAGTAATAATTGCAATTTTTTCTTCAATATGATTATTTTATGTTTTACTTGTACGTTATATTGGTAAAAAAAAAAAAAAAAATCCATCAAGACTCAAATCAAATGTTGTATTTTGTAATTTGTATGCATGCGGTGGCACCATATAATATCAATATTTCAACACTTGAAACAACAATAAACTTTTTTTCAAAGTAATTAATCATATCTATACGTAATCATACATACTAATTTTCTTAGAAAGTTTATTTTTAAATTTCATTTTCCTTATTTGATTTGCAGGTTCTTCAGGAACTCCAAAATTTAGTGGAACAATACAAAGATGAAGAGATCAGCATAACCATAACCGGTCATAGTTTAGGTGCAGCCCTAGCTACACTAAACGCGGTTGATATAGTTGTTAACCACCTAAACAAACCCAAAGACTTCCCAATAAAATCATACTTAGTAACAGCCATAATATTTGCTAGCCCTAGAGTAGGAGACTCTAATTTCAAAAAGATTTTCTCAAAATATGACAAACTTAAGCTCTTAAGGGTACGTAACACCTTTGACATCGTACCAAACTACCCTTTACTAGGGTATTCCGACGTTGGCCAAGAATTGGTGATCGACACGACTAAGTCCCCATACTTGAAGACGCCCGGTACGTTCACAAATTGGCATAATATGGAGGCATATTTGCACGGAGTTGCTGGAACACAAGGTAGTAAGGTAGCGTTTAAGTTGGTGGTTGATCGCGATGTTGCACTTGTAAATAAGTCGATGGATAATTTGAAGGATGAGTATCTTATACCGGTTGCTTGGTGGATTTTGAAGAATAAAGGAATGGTTCAACAGCCTAATGGTTCTTGGTTGTTAATGGATCATGAAATGGATGATGAAGATGATTATATTGACTTTGACCTTTTCATATAGTAACATCAATTTTATTCCAAATATATAAAAAGTGTAATGTTTAAGTTATGGGTCAGAAGGAGTATATTTGGACCTTTTTAGAACTCGTGGACATTGAGTTTATATTATGTTGTTTAGTGTTTTCCTTTTGGGAGTTTGGTTTCAACATCTCTTGTTTGGTTCATTCAACCTTTGACTTTACAATTTTTTACATGAATTTTTTAAATTTAAGTGTGTATTTGTATATATATATTTTTTTAATTAATGATTGAAATATAATGTCTTTTATACAACATGTACACTTTATTCTACAATAAGAATTTACTCAATCAATCCATCAATACCTTAATCGAATAAGTGGTTACATTAGAATATACTCAATCTTTTAAAATTAATATATTTTGTATAGTTGATCGAGGAATGTGCGGATAATGGGACGTACTAGAATAATCCACGAAGTATTAAATGGAAAATTCCCTGTTTATCATATTGAGAAACGAAATTTGTTTCTCATGGGGCATTTTCGTGAATAAATCAACAATTTTTTTATTATTATTGTGGGCTCCACAATTGAATAAATTTGTTGGTTTATTTACGAAAAAATGTCATGTAAGAAACAAATTTTGTTTACGAAAATCAACAATTTTGTTTCTCACCGTGAGAAATGGGGCATCCCCGTATTAAATAGGCAAATGTTCATATAATCATTTATTTCTTCCAATCTATAGGTTCTAGTGAGATTAACCTTCATTTAAACTGTAGTCATTCCTAGTTGTATTGTAATACAATCCATAATTGTTTTGAAAGTACTTGCTGTACAAATAGCCAGGTGAATTTTTTCTTTAAATGAGCTCATATGCTAATATACTACATTATTTAGTGATTTAATATGAGAGTAATCAGGGGATTGAAGATCTCCTAGAAACTAAGTTTACCATGTGTGCGCATGAGTGAGGAAAGTATGTGCGGAAGGAAATTATTAGAGGTGATCATTTGCGGGCTTGGGCGGGTAGCGGGCCGGACTTATGCTTATTTTTTTGTCCAACGGGCTTTATGTAGCAAACCCGAACCCTTTTATGCATGCTTGATACTTTGTCCATGCCCGCTTATTAAACGGGCCGGGCTTGCCCGTGGGCTAACGGGCCTTAAATTTTTGTTTTATTTTTTATAACACTAATTAATCTTTTTATTATTTACACGTGCTAAAATTATTTTGGTAGAGTTGTGTTAAAATTTTTTGTTCACAAATAATGATAATAGAAATTAAAAACACACAAAGTATGTCATAATATAAATTAAAATAAATAATTGTAACCAATTAAAGCTTATAGTTCAATATTTTCTTTTTGTATTTATAATTTTATTTTCTTAAATTCACAAAGTATGCCATTATTAACTAACTAAATAAAATTATTATTATTATTATTATTATTATTATTATTATTATTATTATTATTTTTAAACGGGTCAGGTGGGCTAGCCCACGATACATATTTTCTTGTCCATACCCGCCCATTTATATTAACAGGCCGGGCCTAACCCGCCTAAATATCCAATTTTTTTCAGAAAGGTTGTCCGAGCCCGCCTTTTTAGCGGGCTGGGTTGGGCGGGCTTTGCGGGTCCCGCCCATGAGCAGCTCTAGAAATTATGTTAGTCTGTGAGGACAATAGTCTTAGCTAGATGCACAGTTGTCAGTTGATGATGACTCGACCATGACCAATTAGGGGTTGGAGGTGCAACACGTCTTTCCATCATATCAAACTTTTCAATATAAGATTTAGTTATTTATGAGATTTGTATGTTTAATTGATTAATAGAAATATTTATATGATTTGGTTTTGAAGAAGGAATTAATTAGAAGTATAGAAAACGAGATTCATTCATTAATATAATTGGCTGATAAAACAATTGTTTCATACGGAGTAATCATGAAGGTTTCCAATGCTAGAATATGAGGCCGTATTGGGCCGTATACATGCAACATCAATCCATTATAATTGGCTTAAAAGGAAAAAAAATGTTGAAATCATAGAAAAGTTGAACTATTATTGAAGTTATTAGTAAGTACTACATCCGTTTCATATTATTTGCAACAATTTGACATAAATTAGAGAGTAAAAAATGTCTAATTGTTACAAATAATATGAAATGAAGGTAGTATTATTTTGGTGAAGAACAGAAATACAAGTAAGTGGTACAAGCCTTGGACTCAACCTTGTAGAACCTAGTTGTCCAACCAAAAACTTGCTTTTGCGTTTAGCATACGAGGATGCCCCATTTTCTCATGGTGAGAAACAAATTCACATGGTATTTTCGTAAATAAACCAACAATTTTATTCAACTTTGTTCAACTGTGGAGCCCACAATAATGAAAAAGTTATTAATTTATTTACGAAAATGCCCCCATGAAAAACAAATTTCGTTTCTCAAAAAAACAAAGAATTTTCCTTTACGATACCATCCAAAATTGATACTTTTTACATAATAACTTACTAAAATTATCACTGGCTTTATTACATCTTGGACTTAGGTGACTGACCTTGTTCTTTTGAGCTTCTGGGCAGAGCAGAGCAGATTTCAGCAGAGCAGATTTCAGCAGAGCAGAGCAGATTTCAGCAGAGAAGATTGAAGCAGAGCAGAGCAGAGTCAAGCAGAGCAGAGCAAATTTTATTATTATTATTATTATTATTATTATTATTATTATTATTATTGTTATTGTTATTATTGTTATTGTTATTGTTATTGTTATTGTTATTGTTATTGTTATTGTTATTGTTATTATTATTATTATTATTATTATTATTATTATTATTAGTAGTAGTAGTAGTAGTAGTAGTAGTTGTTGTTGTTTCGGGGTTTTCTGATGTCCTGCGGGAGAGTTACAATTCCGAGACTGGAACCGGACGCCTGTACCTGCAAAACAAACGGATGCTCCGGATGATTGGAGATCCGCCTCCGACGGTCAAGTTAGTACTTGATTAAGGAGTAATTAATGCCGAAATTAAAGTGATTGGGTCTCTCTAGGTGAGAGTGTTTAATGTGTGTAATCTGCGTAATCTCCCTTAATGAGGATTAAGGGAGGTATTTATAACCTCGGGAAACGTGCCAATCTAGGTTTAGGTTAACCTTGGGCTGATTGGGCTTCCCTCGGAAGTTGGGTCTAGGTGACCGGCTTCTCCATTAGGCATGGAGTATGCCACGTGTCATGACATAATAAGTCCAGGGTGGACGAATAAGCGTGTGCCACGTGGCAAGCCCTGAGAGGTCCAACTGGGGGACACTTGGCAGGACCTGATTGGCCCACGTGGCGCATTCCGATTGGTGGGAGCAAAATCCCCTAATCATTTTCCCCTCACAGGTGGCACGTGACTTGTCACGTGTTACCTGTGACAGGTGTCGCCCTGTAACAGGCGACGACCTGCTACAGGTGTCACTCGGCGAGAGGCCGAGAGATTCTCCCGCCAAAATTTTGAATTTTGGAAGTGACCCTTCGCCTTCTCACTTCGCCTATATAAAGGAGTGTTGACTTCGGTCATTTTCACACTTGAAAACTTTGTGAGAGAACATTCGGACCCCTGAACTTGCTCTAACATTTTGGACCCTTTCTGCCTACCGCCTGCTCTGACAAGCCGACTGCAAAGGATTTTCAGAACTTCATCAATCGTCACTCGTTCAGGTAACCGTCGGTTCTCTTACTCTTAATTTTATCTTTACTTTATTCTTTTTTGAAATGGCACCACGGAAGCACACGACACGACCTAGGTTAGTGATCAGCCGGTCACCGGGGACGGCTGAATCTAGGATTAGGAGTGCCGCCTGCCCTTTTCTGGACCCATCTTTGCCCTTTATACAAAGTCCGACTGTATCTGTGTCTATATAGAGCATGATGGCCAGAACAAAAAAGACTGCCAGGATCTCAAACTCAGACGGCTCCTCCCACAGGGTGCCGATTAGTGAAACATCTGACCAGGCGCCAGATGTGGAAGTGAAACAAAGCGGCTTGAAAGCCGGCAGTTCTGAGGGAGGAGTCAAAGTGACCCCTTCCCATTTTACAGTTGACAATTCTACATTCTCTCCTGCTCCTTTTAAAGGAGAGGAGGCGGGCCCCTTCGGGAGAGGGGAGGAGTCGTCCTCTTCGGACTCGTCAGAGGACGAATCCGAGTCTAGCTCTTCTAGCCATGCTTCTCTGGACACAAAAGAGAAAAACAGTCGCCTACAAGAGGCGAGGCTTTCTCACGCAGTTGAGAAGGGGGACGATTGGGCAGAGCCATCCGCCTCTCACCGAGAGCAAAATACCCCCTACTACTGCACGGTACCTCGGGGCCGGATCACGGCCATGCAAGAGAAAGTGGGGAGCTTTATCGCAAACCACACAATGGGCCCCGGCTTTTTAGTGTTCGTGCCGGATCCAGAAGACACAGTCGTCTGGCCGGCTGGTACCAGTTATGATGGCGCCTGCTTTGGCTGCTACGAGGCGGCCATCAAGGCTGGGCTGCGCTTCCCACTACATCCGGCTGTTCAGCGGATCTTGGATGGGTATGAGTTGGGGTTATGGCAGTTAGCCCCGAACTCCTGGGTCAACGTACTCGGCTATGTGGTCGGGTGCGTACTGCACGGGGTGGAGCCGAACTTCGAGGCTTTCGCCCACATGAACTACCTCAGCCGGACCCCTAAGGCAGGCGGTACCGGCTGGTATCAATTGACGAGCCACAGGGGCTACCTCATGACGAGAGGTAAAGCAAACAAATGGAAGGACTGGCGGAGCACCTTCCTTATCATTGAGAGTTCAGACACAGAGCTGAATAAGCGCTTCAACAGGTGGAACAGGAATCCGCCCCTTCTTGCAGGCGGCCGCAGCATGCCGCCTGTTCCCCCCAAGGCTAAGAAAGAGATCCTAGATAAAGGACTCTTCAAAGTAGAGTCGAAGGTGAACTCTACTTCAGGGGTACGAGAGCAAGTACCCTTGCACTGCGTCCCGAGCTTCAAATGGCTCTACGACGAGTACTTTTTGGCCGCCTGTGGCCTCAGCAGTCGATGCTCAAGAGGTAGCCGGCCTGTCGAATACTCTGTTGTTCCGTGCATTTCTTGTTATGACTTTTATTAACTTTGCTATTTGTTTTTGCAGCGGACGCCATGAGCAAAATTACCGCCTCCAAGACTGCGGCGGCCAAGTTGCGGGCCTCCATCATGCAACAGTCTTCAACCGACTCCCCCAACAAGGGGGCACCCTTGGTGGGCTTCGAACCTTTCACCCTCTTTTTGGAGTTGTGTTTATGCATATACTGACTCTTTT